TGAACCTGGGGTGACATTGTGAAAGGAATGACCCTAAGTCCTCTGTCACACCTGTGTAAGGGCTGCTGGAGGGCGGCTCAGCTGTGTGGCAGTGCCAGTGCTGGGAAAGCACCCACTGTTTAGCCAGCTAGGGAAGGAGATGTCCAAAGATGGCTGAGACGTCTCCTTCCTCGGGGGAGTGAAGAGAAAACTCCGCTTCTCCAAGCTCTTCTGGTAGGCCTGAAGGCTGTCAGGTAGGTCCACAGATATCTGGGGGCTTAATTGTCTCTAGGTGACGCTTTGCTTCAGTGGTCACATTCCATGTCCACTCTCAGGATCCGCTTCTGCACCTGGTTTCTTTATTCTTAGAGGAGATAATCAGTAAAAGTAATATAAATCTTAATGTCTTTGTTCTTTCTGGACAATTATGAAAAAGTGCTGGACCCTTCACTTCTGCCGGCCAAAGAAAATCTCAGTTCTTCATTTCTCTGCCAGGTGTTTCAGCAGGTTGTGGAAGCTGGATGGATTTCTGCTTAGCCCGGTTATGTCTAGAAGTTTGTAGGGTCCAGCCCTTCAGGGTCCTTTGAGCCCCTCTCTGCTGGTGTGGAGACGAGAGGCTACAGAAATAAAAGACACGAGACACAGAGACAGAGAAAAGAGAGTTCGGGCCCGGGGGTCCACTGCCAACCAAAGCGCGGAGCCCAGCAGTGGCCCCCAGTGTCCTCACACTCTGACTTTTATTGAGTACAAAGCTGGGGGCAGGGTAGGTAGGGCGTGGCATTGGTGGTCAGTGATAGGGTCAAGCACGTTACGTGTCCTACAGGCAGGGGCCCAAGGCTTTCTAGTAGCCGAGAGGAGGTAAGGAGCATAATGCGGCAGCACTTTTCCATACTTGTTAAGAAAGAACAAAGACATTAAGATTTATATCACTGTTACTGATTATCTCTTCTAAGAAAAAAGGAATCAGGTGCAGAAGCACAACATGAGAGTGGACATGGGACGTGACCACTGAAGCACAGCATCACTTGGAGACAATGAAGCCCCCGATGTCTGCGGGCCTATCTGACCGCCGTCAGGCCGACCGCAAGAGCTTGGAGGAGCGGAGTTTTCTCCACACTCCCCCCAGGAAGGAGAGGTCTCGGCCAACTCGAACGTCTCCTTCCCTAGCTGGCTAAACAGCAGGCGCTTTCCCAGCGCTGGCGCTGACACGTAGCCTAGGCGGTCTCCAGCAGCCCTTACATGGGCGTGACACAGGGCTTAAAGCATCTTGCAATAGGGTCATTCCGTTCACGATGTCACCCCAGGTTCACACCTCAAGACCTGAGAGGCATTAGTAAAAGAACTAAGATCACCTATGAATATTAATAAGTAAGATTACCTATGAATAACTACTATGGTGATATCTCTAGTTATTTTCTTCTTCACTATTTATATGGAAATAAGCTGAGGCTTCTGACTCCTGCCTCAGCCCTTACGGGGGTCTGCCCCCCACAAAGGAGCCCAGCAGAGCTGGGTTAAAATCCTAGTGTCTTCACTTGGCATGACCTTAGGCAAGACCGTTGACTTTTGTGAAGCCCGAGCCAGGAGGTCAGGGCTGCAGTGAGCTGTGTTCGCACCACTGCACTCCAGCCTGGGTGACAGAATGACACTGTCCACTCTCAAAAAAAAAAAAAAAAAAAAGCTGGGGCGGTGGCTCACACATGTAATCCCAGCACTTTGGAAGGTTGAGATGGACAGATCACAAGGTCAAGAGTTCTAGATCAGCTGGGCCAACCTGGTGAAACATTGTCTCTACTAAGAATACAAAAATTAGCCAGACGTGGTGGCCAGTGCCTGTAATCCCAGCTACTTGAGAGGCTGAGCCAGGAGAATTGCTTGAATCTGGGAGGCGGGGTTGCAGTGAACCAAGATCATGTCCCTGCACTCTAGCCTGGGTGACAGAGCCAGAGTCCATCTAAGAAAAAAAAAAAAAAAAAAAAAAAAAAAACTAGAAAGAAACACAACAAAATGTTAGTAGTATTTTGAGTGGTGGGGAAAGAATGCCCACTCTTTCTTTATCAAATGTTCTTTAGTTAGAATTTATTCATTTTATTTTAAACTTTTGTTATCTCTGATTTAAAAAGTCTTCTGTTACTTTGATAGTGACAATAAAACTAAATAAAGCCTTTGTGTCAGGTCTCCATGTGCAAGCCTGGACCCAGAAAGTCTGAAGCCTGCCTGCCTGGGCTAATCGTCCCCCACACCCCACCTGCATTTGCCATTGTCCCTAATCGCCCAGCAGAGCTTCCCAGGACAAGCCCTCACCCCACCCTGCCATCTGAACTGTTCTTATGATAATGTGAGTACCTCTCACCCCACCCTGCCATCTGAACTGTTCTTATGCTTCTGATAATGTGAATGCTCCTTGCCTCATCCTGCCATCTTCTCTTCAGCCTTCATACCCACCCGCCACTGTAACTGAACTTGTGGACCTGTATACTCCTTGCCCCTACCCCCCACCACTGTAACTGATCTTACTCTGCAACACCCCTGCCCCACAAAAATTATCCCAACCTATAAAACCAGTTCCCACCCATACCCCCTTCACCTGTCCTTTCTCTCATTCATCCCACTTGGACCCAAGAGAGAAATAAAATGGCCTTGTCACCCACGCAAAGCCTGTTTGGAAAATCTCTTTATTAAATGTGTTTAATATTCAGTACTATTGGATGCGAATAACATTTTGCTCGATGCCTGTATCATCTTATTCAATCCTCAGAATCTGCTGAGAAAGAATTCTTTCTCCTATCCTATATGAAAAAGTTTTTTAGAGACGGCGTCTTACTCTGTTGCCCAGGCGGGGCTGGAGTGCAGTGGCATGATCATAGTCACTGCAGCGTCCACCTCCCGGGCTGAAGCCACCCTCCTGCCTCAGCCTCTGAGTACCTGGGACGACAGATGCATGCTACCATGTCTGGCTATTTTATTTTATTTTATCCATTTCTTTATTTTTTGAGATGGAGTCTGGCTCTGTCACCTAGACTGGAAGTGCAGTGGCACTATCTCGGTTCACTGCAACCTCCGCCTCCCGGGTTCAAGCTATTCTCCTGCCTCAGCCTTCTGAGTAGCTTGGACTACAGGAGCCTGCCACCATGTCTGGCTAATTTTTGTATTTTTAGTAGAGATTCGTTTCACCATGTTGGCCAGGCTGGTCTCGAACTCCTGACCTTGTGATCCACCCACTTTAGCCTCCCAAAGTGTTGGGATTACAGGTGTGAGTTATCGTGATGGTCTTTATTTTTACTTTCATTTATTTATTTGAGATGGAGTCTCAGTCTGTCACCCAGGCTGGAGTGAAGTGGCTCCATCTTGGCTCACTGCAACCTCTGCCCCCCGCCAGGTTCAAGCAATTCTCTTGCCTCAGCCTCCTGTGTAACTGGAATTACAGGTGCAGGCCACCATGCCCGGCTAATTTTTTGTATTTTTAGTAGAGACAAGGGTTTTTTTGTTTTTTTTTTTGAGACAGAGTTTCACTCTTGTTACCCAGGCTGGAGTGCAATGGCGCGATCTCGGCTCACTGCAACCTCCGCCTCCTGGGTTCAGGCAATTCTCCTGCCTCAGCCTCCTGAGTAGCTGGGATTACAGGCACGCGCCACCATGCCCAGCTAATTTTTTGTAGTTTTAGTAGAGACGGGGTTTCACCATGTTGACCAGGATGGTCTCGATCTCTTGACCTCGAGATCCACCTGCCTCGGCCTCCCAAAGTGCTGGGATTACAGGCGTGAGCCACCGTGCCCGGCCGAGACAAGGTTTTATCATGTTGGCCAGGCTGGTCTTGAACCCCTAACCTTAGGCGATCCACCTGCTTCAGCCTCCCAAAGTGCTGGGATTACATGCATGAGCCACCGCACCCAGCCTTATTTTATTTTATTTTATAACAGGCAGTGATCCTCCTGCCTTGGTCTCTCAAAGTGCTGGAATTATAGGCGTTAACCACTGCACCCAGCCTCTTCTGTTGTTTTTGTTTTGTTTTGTTTTGTTGAGATGGAATCTCCCACTGTCTCCCAGGCTGGAATGCAGTGGCATGATCTCGGCTCACTGCAACCTCTGCCTCCTGGGTCCAAGCAATTCTCTTGCCTCGGCCTCCCAGGTAACTGGGACTATAGACACACGCCACCATGCCCTGATAATTTTTTGTATTATTTTATTAGATTTGTGGTTTCACCGTGTTGCCCAGGCTGGTCACGAACTCCTGAGCTCAGGCAATCCACCCACCTCAGCCTCCCAAAGTGCTGGGATCATAAGCGTGAGCCACCGTGCCAGGCCTTCTCTCTGTTTTAGAGCGTAGGAAACTGAGGCTCAAGCAAAGTGATTTGCCTAACGTCACATAAGCAACAAGAGGGGAGCTGTGATTTGAACCTATGTTGGTCTGACTCCTGAGGGACAGGAAAATCGAAAAGACTTGTCTTGTGCCTGCGAGGTCAGGATAAGTGGTTGGTCTGCTTCTTAATCAGATTTTTCTTTAGCCTTAAGAAGATTTTTTACCTAGAATTGGCGAGACGCGTGGTGGCTTAAGCCTGTGATCCCAACACTTTGGGAGGCCGAGGTGGGAGGATCACCTGAGTCCAGGAGTTCGAGGCCAACGTGGGCAATAATTGTCGAAAGCATATTAGAGTCCTGGAGAGATAATGAGTTCCCCTTTACCAGGAGGTGTCTGATAGAGGACCATAGAGGGTCCTGGAGGGACATTCAGGAACGCTGACAATCCCTCTTCCTCCTCAAAGAGCAGGGCTATGTCCCTTCTATGAGCCGCAGAACAAGATGGGCTTTGTTCTAACTGGGAGCACTGCTGAAGGGGCCTCTGGGACTTCTGCATCTCCATCATCGCCCCTCCCCCATAGGGCACCACGGGAGTCAGTGGGGCGGGGCATCGGTGGGGCGGGGCTGCGGGGCTGCAGGGCTCTCGCGGGCTGGCGGGGCGGGGCTTCGGCATGAGGGGCGGGGTGAAGGCGAGGCGGGGCTTCAGGGCTCTTTGAGGCCGCACCTGCCAGCCCCTCAGTGTGTGCCCAGAGAGACACGGGCACCATGGAACCCATGCCGCTGCAGGACTTCATACGCACCCTGGACCTCGCCTCCCTCCCGCGCGTGCTGCGAGTCTCCTCGGGGTACTATTATTCGAGTAAGCAGGGGCTGGACACCCTCCGAGTTCTCCCTAGCTGTGGGGCGGGGGCAAAGACCCCGGAGAGGGAGTTACCAATCTGGGGAACCGCCCGGGTTCAAATCCCGACGCTGCCACTGACCAAGCTCTGTGATTTGGGGCCGCACTCAACCTGTCTGGATCACAGCTTTTGCTTTCGTGGAATGGGGACCGCCGACCTGCCCCGAGGGTGGTGATGAAAAGGTGAATGCAAAGGAGCCACCCTGACGTGGCCCCGCGGTGCGCATGGGACGGAGGTCCGACCGCCAAGGAATGCAGCATTAGGGCGCTAGTGCTCGTGACTCCGTCGTGATTCTCAAGTGCGGGGTCTGTAGTCTTCCCGACTTGGTCCTTCCACTCTTCCCACTGACCGTCCTCTGCAATGCCTTCCTTCAGTCCCTGCGTCCACCTTGGCCCTCTGCTTGACCATGGGCGGTACTTGATTTGGTCAGCTATTCAGTTCTCAGCTTCAATGGCGCTTCCTCCCGGAAGCCTTCCCGGCTCTCTGCTCCCTGCTGGCCCGTATATCCACCACCTCCCGGCAGCGGCCTGGTTCACAGGGATGGGCACCGAGCAGGCGCACAGTCACTGTTCATTGCCTGACAGTGGAAGGCAGGGGAGGACAGCACAGGGGATGGGTGGCCAGGGCTGCTCTGTGGAGAGGGAGGACCCGTGGGCCACTAAGTGCGGGAGATGGAAGCTGGAGGAGAGAGATGCTGTGTGGGGTGCGGGTTCCTTCCTTAGAGAGCGAACTGAGGCTTGAGGCCCCTGCCCCGTCCTGTTCCCTGGCTGCAGAAAACCTTGCTCTGCCACAGCTGCTTCCAACAGAGTGTTTGGAGGTCCCGCAAGGTGGGTCCCGCAGGGGGCCACCACCTCACAATGGGTCTCTCCAGGTCTGCTTGTGAATCTGGTGGATGTGGGTTCAACTTCTGTCTCTACCTCCAGGGGCTTCCTGCAGACAGGCGCCTCATCTGTTTGCTCTTCCCCCAGCCCGACCAAGCGTCTCTGTCCTCCCAGCACCCTTGACTGAGTTTCCTCATCCTGGCTGAGGGGGTGGTGGAAGTCAGGGTGATGGTGACTAGAGAGGGCCCTGAGGAGGTGTGGGTGCGTGGGGTGAGTGTGGAGGACGGATGGCCATGCCAATAGGGGCAGGCGTCTGGCAGGGCACTGGGAGGTGGTTGGCTTCGTGGTTAGGAGCGCTGGCTCTGGAGGAAAATGCCATGGGTTCAACTCCTAGGTTTTTATTTTGTTTTGACCAGAGTCTGGCTCTGCTCAGGCTGGAGTGGAGCCGAACGTTCGCAGCTCACTGCAGCCTTGACCTCCCGGGCTCATGATCCTCCCACCTCAGCTTCCTGAGGAACTGGGACTACAGGCGTGCACCACCACGCCCAGCTATTGCCGTATTTTTGGTGAAGATCGGGTTTTGCCACATTGCCCAGGCTTGTCACACATCCCCGGGCTCAAGTGATCTGCCTGCCTCAGCCTCCCAAAGTGTTGGGATTACAGGCATGAGCCACCACACCAGGCCCTGTTTTTTGTTGAATGAAACGTAGACCAACTTGTGCAACACAGATCCTGTTTTGGTTTTTTTGACAGGGTCTCACTGTCTCAGAGGTGCATTCACAGCTCACTGCAACCTCAACCTCCCAGCCTCAAGCAATCCTCCCACCTCAGCCTCACGAGTAGCTGGGACTACAAGCATGCACGATCACACCCAACTGATTTTTTTATTTTGTGTAGAGACAGTCTCACAATGTTCCCTAGAAACATGTCTCAAACCCCTGAGTTCCAGTGACCCTCCTGCCTCAGACTCCCAAAGTCCGGGCGACAGTGAGACTCCTGTCTCAAAAAAAGGAACGGGGGTCTGTGTTGCCCAAGTTGGTCTTGAACTCTGGTCCTCCAGCAATCCCCCTACTTTTTAGCCTTTCGTATTGTTGGGATTACAAGTCACAGCCAGCCATAACTTCTAGTTCTGATTCCTGTTCCCCCTCCCTTTCTTCTTTCTTTCTTTCTTTTCTTTTCCTTCTTCTCTCTTTATTTATTTTAAATATGGGGTTTCACCATGTTGATCAGGCTGGTCTTGAACTCCTGATCTGAAGTGATCTGCCTGCACCAGCCTCCCCAAGTGCTGGGATTACAGGCGTGAGCCACCACGCCCGGCCTTTAAAAAAGTTTGTTAAAGTCTTCCCTTTTTTCCTTCTTTCTTTCCTTCTTTCCTTTCTTTTTGTTTGAGATAGAGGCTCAGTCTGTCACCCAGGCCGATTTCAGCTCACTTCAGCCTCTGACTCTGGAGTTCAACGTGTTCTGCCTCAGCCTCCCAAGTAGCTGGGATTCCAGGCACCTGCACCACACCTGGCTCATTTTTGTATTTTTAATAGAGAGGGGATTTCACCATGCTGGCCAGGCTTGTCTTGAACTCCTGACCTGAAGTGATCTGCCTGCACCAGCCTCCCAAAGGGCTGCGATTATAGGCCTGAGCCACCGTGGCTGGCCAGCTGTTTCATTATTTAGGAAATTGAAACTGCCTGTCTCCGTAAGAGCAGTCTTTGTTTTTTTTTACAATTTTTTTTTTTAAAGATGGGGTTTCACCGTGATGGCCAGGCCGGTCTTGAACTCCTGACCTCAGGTGATCCACCCACCTTGGCCTCCCAGAGTGCTAGGATTACAGGCGTGAGCCACCACGCCCAGCCCAGTCAGGAGTCTTAAATGCAGTGATGCGTCAGTAGCTCTTAGCACGGGGCCAGATAACTATAGCACCACAGCTTCTGTTCTCACCAGTCTGGAAGGCCCATGCCCTGACATTAGGGTAGACGGAGCTGTGCTTTGTGACCGGTTTCCATTTTCCTGGGGATGCACGGGGAGATGTTCATCAATCAGTTTCTCAGGTCTGATGTGAAGGTGTCTGTTGGGGCTGCCCTGTGGGAGGGACTGGAGTCAGGTGGGCTCAGGGCCACCTGCCATATAGTCTGTCCTCCTTCATTAGCTGAATGGAGAGCCTGTGCCCTCCGCATGCGCATGACAGATATTTATTGGGCACCTTCTGTGTTCTCGACGCTGCTTACACACTTTAAACCAGGAAAGCAGAATCTTGCCCATTGGGCCTCGCTCTGTCGGTGCCCCTCTATTCTCCAGGGTGCTGGGGGTGCTGAGCTCCGGGTGACCTGCTGGGAGCCAGTGACCCCTCTCTGAGCCTGATTTTGGGAACTGGGATTCCTTTAGTGTACCGCGACAAAATCCGGCTCAGAGAGGGTGATTCACTGGGTAACTGACTGATTTGTGGACTTAGCCCACACCCAGAGGCCAAGCCCTGTGCTGGCTGCAGTGATGAGAGGGATCAGCCCTACCTGGGAACTCAGTGTAGGAGGCACGGGGATGCGAAAAAGGCCAGAGAAGTGCGCCACAGAGGGGCACAGGGACAGCTAAGGACGACTGAACCTGTGAGCACGAGGGAGGGACGACAGCAGGGCATACCAGGCAGCAGGCGCCATGTGCAAAGCTGTGACAGCAGAGCTTGTTGGGCACCAGAGCACAGGCTGCCCCGCGCTTGGCTCTTGCACAGCGGGGAAACTTGAGTCCATGTCTTCACAGGCTCCATCTATGACATCGGGGGGAAAGAGTGCTGCCTTTGCACGGGGGACCTGATCAAGGTCACCCAGGTTCGCCTCCAGTATGTGATCTATGAAAACTCGAAGATGAAAATGGTGGTCAGGACGATTGACCCCAACTTCCAGGGTAAGGTGGCCACCTCTGCCTCCCCACGTGCCCTGGCACCTTCCTGGCACACTCATGGGCTGCTTGTGGGCTTGCCAAATCCAGCAGTCACTCCCTCCTCTCTGGGGTTTGCTCACAAGGCCCTCACATCCACCACGACCCAGGCTCGAGGGTGGGGATGTCCTCGGAGGGTCTGCAGTCCTCTGAATGCAGAGGTTGTGCTCTCTCCCTTTCAGTCCCTGGTCATCACGTTGGCTTCTGTTCCACGCCTTATCCAGATGCCTGTCTGTGTTCACTCTACACATTAACTCCCCAGACAGCTGCAGACCCCCATGTATGCCGAGCTGTGTGGGGGGCTGTGGGTGTGGGGCTCTGCAGACACCCATGTGTGCCAAGCTCTGTGTAGGGGGCTGTGGGGCTCAGGATGAAACAGGTGCCACCCTCTCCAGTGGCGAGCTTCCAGGGCGACAGAGGAGGGCAACAGTAGAAGGAGACAGAAGCTTTAGAGAGGGTTCTGAGCAACAGTAACTTGCCTCAGGGTCTGTGAGGGCTTCCTGGGGGAGGTGGCACCTGAGCAAAAGGAAAGATCCCAGTCAGAGGGAGTAGCATGTGCACATTTGGTGCTCAGGAAACCCCAAGGAGCTATGTTATTTTAAGAGGAATGTAGTGTGGTGGACCATGGTCTGGACCCTGAAGCCAGCGGCCTGGAATCAGATCCCAGCTCTGCTGGCTACTAGCTCTGGCCTTGGGCAAGCAAGGCAAGTTCCTGGGACCTCTCTGGGCCTCAGTTTCCTCTTCTGTAATGAGGGTGATTAGGCATTATGTGAGGATGAAATGAGCTGATACATATATAGCACTTAGAAGGGGGGCCTGGGACAGGCTGGGCATGGTGACTGGTGGCTCACGCCTGTAATCCAGACACTTTGGGGAGGCCGAGGCATGCGGATCACCTGAGGTCAGGAGTTCGAGACCGCCTGGCCAACACGGTGAAAACCCGTTAGCTAGGGGTGGTGGGGGGCACGTGTAATCCCAGCTATTTGGGAGGTTGAGGCATGAGAATCACTTGAGCCTGGGAGGTAGAGGTTGCAGCCTGGGCAACCAAGCGAGACTCAGCCTCAAAAAAAGCGTGCCTGGGGCAAAGCAGGCACCCTAAGACTGGCTCTTTCGTGACTGCCTGCCAGATGCTGTAGAGCGTGGCTTCCAGGTTTGGGTCAAGTTGTCGGGGAAGCCGCAGGAGCCAGGCTATCTGGGGGCTGTGTGGTGCGCTGACACTGTTCTTTAATTCTGAAGGCTGAGGAGCCAATTAGGTGTTTTGTCTTGTCTTTAGAGACAGGGTCTCCTTACATTGCCCATCCTGGTCTCAATCTCTTGGGCTCAAGCCATCCTCCTGCCTTGGCCTCCTAAAGTGTTGGGATTACAGGCCTGAGCCACCACCTCCGGCCCCAGTGATGGTTTTTAATATGGAAGTAATATATTCTGTATTTGAGTCTTTTTTTATTGAAATAATATTAAACTTACAGAACTATAATTTGCTAGAACTCCTGTACACCCTTTATCCAGATTCATTTTTTTTTTTTTTAAATAGTGTTGCTCTATTTCCCAGGCTAGAGTGCTGTGGCTTCTTCTCAGCTCACTGCAACCTCCATCTTCAGGGCTGAAGCAATCCTCCTGCTGCAGCCTCCCAAGTAGCTGGGACCAAAGGCCTGTGCCAGCATGCCCTGGTGTGATCTCAGCTCACTGTAGCCTCCACCTCCTGGGTTCAAGCAATTCTACTGCCTCAGCCTCCTGAGTAGCTGGGATTACTGGCGTGCCCCACCACACCTGGCTAATTTTTTGTGTGTTTTAGTAGAGACAGGGATTCACTATATTGGCCAGGCTGGTCTTGAACTCCTGACCTTGTGATCCACCTGCCTCGGCCTCCCAAAGTGGTAGGATTACAGGTGTGAGCCACCACACCCCGCATTTTTTGTATTTTTGGTAGAGATGGGGTTTGCCATATTGCCCAGGCTGGTCTCCAACTCCTGAGCTCAAGTGATCTGCCCGCCTCCGCCTCCTAAAGTGCTGGGATTACTGGTGTGAGCCACCATGATGGCTAGTTTGTAAATTTTTTGTAGAGACGAGGTCTTACTATATTGCCCAAATGGGTCTGGAATTCCTGAGCTTAAGCAATTCTCCTGCCTCAACCTCCCAAAGTGCTGGGATGACAGGGGTGAGCCACTGTGTCTGGCCAAAATGGCATCAGGTTTCCCTATTTTTCCCTATTTGTTTTCCCCATCACGTGTTAAACATTTGTGACATGTGCTTTCTCCCTCTGTCTCCACACACACACGAATGTATTACTATACGTGTATATATGGGTACGTTTTTTCTGAACCATTTGAGAGTAAATTGCAGACGTGATCCCTTTTACATCTATATATTACCCCTAAATATTATAGTATCTCCCCAAATCAAGAACATTCATTCCCATGGTTCATTGATGAAATTCGGGAAATGTAATTTTGGTGCAGCACTACTGCCTAATCCATGGTCTATGTTTGGATTCCAGCAACTATCCTGATATAATATGTTTTATAGCAGTGTTCCCCTCAATCCAGAGTCCAGTCGTAGCTCACACATCATATTCAGTTATCCTATTTCCTTTTTTTTTTTTTTTTTTAAAGTGGGGTTTCACAAGGTTGCTCAGGCTGGTCTTGAACTCCTGACCTCAGGTGATCCACCCGCCTTGGCCTCCAAAGTGCTTGGATTACAGGCATGAGCCACCACGCCTGGCCCAGTTGTCCTATTTCTTCATTCTCCTTCAGGCTGGAACCTTCCTCTGCCTTTTTCTTGCCACTGCCATTTTGAAGCATCTAGACCAGTACTTGCGTAGAATATCCCTCAGTCCCAGCTTGTGCCATGTTTCTTCGATTAGCTTCAGGGTGTGGGTCTAGGGCAGGAGAAGCCCGCTTCCCAAGCAGTACCAGGTCTGGAAGGGAGGTGTTGAGGCCAGCTGGTGGCAGAATGGGTGGGGGCTGGAGGGAGGAGGTGCAGGGGCATTCAGGCAGCCAGTATTGGCAGGATGCAGGGGTGAAGCGGGTGGTCGGAGGTGGCTCTGGCCGGTAGCTCCTGGGATGTCAGTTTGGGAGAGAAGGGGTAGTGGCATTGCTGCAGGACGGGGGCCGTAAGTTTTGGATGAGTGGAACTGGAGCTGTGGGGAGGCATCTGGAGAACAGGTAAGATGGCCAAGTCAGAGGCACGCTAGGAGCTAGGAGTGTGGAAGTCTAGTGTGTCTGCCAGGGAATATGACCCTCTTCCATTCTGTCTCTAGTGATGGTCCCTACTTCCTGCCCCTCCCTGTCCCTTCAGGCACCGCCACTTTCTGCCCTGTGTCCCTCAGCCCTGCAGCCCAGATGTCCAGACGCAAGTCCTTCTTTGACACCTGTCCCCGGGGGATTCTGGCTGGGTCATCTGCAGGGCCAGACTCCACCCTGACACCCCACAACGACCTTCCCACTTTCTGCTGTCCCCCACAGGCCACTTCGTCTCCCTCAACACTGCTCAGAGCTATGAAACCCTGGGGGAGCTGGTCTTTGACATAGATCGGACCTCCAAGCAGCAGCTGCCCATTTACATCATGTCGACCTGCAAGATTGTCACAGAGGGCAAGGTGGTGACTGATCATGAGGTCCTCATTTTTGAGGCTGTGGTGCGGCGCCGCCATACCTCCTGTGCCCGCTGCATCCTGGTCACGGAGGATAAGCGGGTCATCCTGCACCTGCCCCTAAACCAGAGGGGGCCCTTCAGGATATTGGAAGCCAGTCCTCCTCAAACTCTGCTCCAGGCCCTGCAGGAACCGAAGGGCCAGCTCTTCACCTGCCCCACCCTGCCCTGGGACCACGTGACCCTGAGGCCCATGTATGAGATCGAAGCCATCATGCACAGTGAGTTGCCTGGGCAGGTGGATGATGGGGGCTGTTGGGAGAGAAAGAGGGGTGCCCCGGGGAGCTGCTCTGATGGAAGACACTCCCACCCTATCCCTGGGGATCAGCAGGAACTTCAGATTGCTCCCTCTGTATTACGCTGCACTTATTCTTATTGAGGCTCAAATGATCTCAGCCAGGCCAGGCACGATGGCTCGGGCATGTAATCCCAGCACTTCAGAGGATTGCTTGATCTCAGGTGTTCCAGACCAGACTAAGCAACATAGCAAGAACCCCATCTCTATAAAATTTTTTTTTTAATCAGCTAGGCAGCCAGGCACGGTGGCTCACACCTGTAATCTCAGCACTTTGGGAGGCCCAGGCAGGCGGATCACCTGAGGTCGAGAGTTCGAGACCAACCCGACCAACGTGGAGAACCCCCATCTCCACTACAAGTACAAAAATGGCTGGGTGTGGTGGCGCATGCATGTAATCCCAGCCAGGAGAATTGCATGCACCCGGGAGGCAGGTCACGGTGAGCTGACATGGTGCCACTGCACTCCAGCCTGAGCAACAAGAGTGACTCCGTGTCCAAAAAAAAAAATTTAGCTAGGCGTATGCATAGTGCTTGTAGTACCAGCTACTCCGGAGGCTGAGGCAGGACTGCTGGAGCTCAGGAGTTCAAGGTTGTAGTGAGCTCTGATCACACCCCTGCACTCCAGCCTGGGCGACTGAGCAAGATCTCATCTCTTTTTGTTTTTGATAAGGGAGTCTTCTGCTGGGTGTGGTGGCTCACGCCTGTAATCCCAACACTTTCTGAGGCCGAGGCAGGCAGATCATCTGAGGTCGGGAGTTTGAGACTAGCCTGACCAACGTGAAGAAACCCTGTCTCTACTAAAAATACAAAAGTAGCTGGGCATGGTGGCGCACGTCCGTAATCCCAGCTACTCTGGGGGCTGAGGCAGGAGAATCACTTGAACCCGGGAGGCGGAGGTTGTGGTGGGCCGAGATCGTGCCCAGGCTGGAGTGCCATGGCAACAAAGAGCAAATCTCCATCTCAAAAACAAAAGAAAGAAAGAGAGTCTTGCTCTGTTACCCAGGCTGGAGTTCAATGGTGGATCTCGGCTCATTGCAACCTCCACCTCCCGGGTTCAAGTGATACTCCTGCCTCAGCCTCCCGAGTAGCTGGGACTACAGGCACGCACCACCATAACCAGCTAAATTTTTCTATTTTTAGTAGGCAGGGTTTTGCTGTGTGCCTTGCTGGCCAGGCTGGTCTTGGAGTTTCCGGCCTCAAGATCTGCGCACCTTGGCCTCCCAAAGTGCCAGGATTACAGGTGCGAATTACCGCTCCCAGCCCTTTTTTTCTTTTTCTTTTTTTTTCTTTCCTTTTTTTTTTTTTTGAGACAGTCTCAGTCTGTCACCCATGCTAGAGTGCGGTGGCATGATCTCAGCTCACTGTACCTTCTGCCTCCCAGGTTTAATTCTGCCTCAGGCTCCAGAGTAGCTGGGATTACAGGTGTGCACCACCACACCTGGCCGATTCGTTTTTTAGATGAAGTTTCAAGCTCTTGTCACCCGGGCTGGAGTGCAACGGCATGATGTTGGCTCACTGCAGCCTCTGCCTCCCGAGTTGAAGTGATTCTCCTCCCTCAGCCTCCTGAGGGGCTGGGAGTACCACACTAGAGTGTGGTGGCATGAGCCACCACACCCACCTAATTTTTTGTGTTTAGTAGAGATGAGGTTTCACCACGTTGGCCAGGCTGGTCTCAGAGTCCCGAGCTCAGGCAATCTGCCCATCTCAGCCTCCTAAAGTGTTAGGATCACAGGTGTGAGCCACTGCACCCGGCCTGTGGTGATCCTTAGAGACATACTGAGATGGTCACACATGGCCCGATGTGGTGATTCTGATTCAGAACGCCCCAGCAGAGCAGGAGTGGAAGGGCCACAGGCTGAAGCACATGGGCCACGAGTTAGATGTTGAAGCTGGGTGATGGGTCCATGGGGAGCACTGTACTATTCTATTTTATAAATGTTTAAATATAGGCCGGCTGCGGTGGCTCACCCTATAATCCCGGCACTTTGGGAGGCTGAGGCAAGGGTATCTTGAGGTCAGCAGATGGAGACCATCCTGGCTAACATGGTGAAACCCCACCTCTACCG